CTATCCTCCACTTCGCAGCATTTCCACTTCGATAATTATCGATATCCGATTAGAATAGCAAAAACTTTTCAGATTCAACTCGAAACAATTAAAACTTGAGCACAATTATATCTGGCTCGAGCACTATTCACCTTTAAGCAGCTCGACTGCGCAGCTACCCCGCCACCGTCTCGCCCGTGTCGAGGCCAACTGCATTCGAATTCAAATTAACCAAATTACCGAAAATTTCGCCAGCTTTTGTCTGCTTGGCTCAGTTCTCTTAATTACTTACAACTAACGGCTGCACAGTGGGTGCAAAGTTTGGATAGTCAATCGTATAAACCAGATACCAGAGCACCCCACTCTCGCCTCTCCCACTGCCACGCCCACGCCCACTCCAACTTGCAACTTCGCTAGAAATGCAATTGAGGAAAGCCAAGAGCGAAAAGGGAGACAAAAGGCAGCCAAGCGCTTGGCTGATAGCTGCCTGTCGTCTGGGGGCGTTGTGGGCGTGCCAGTTGAAGAAATTACGCTGATTGAACACTAATTTATTTGTTTGTTTGTTTTAACATTCGGCGCATTGAAATGCGAAGCAGCAGCAGCAGCCGACGAAAGTGGATAAAGCAAAAAAAAAAAAAAAACAGAACAAACTTTTTATCCTTGGCAGGAGCAGCCAAAAATGCAGCCAAGGTGTGAGCAGGTGGGCTGAGACGGGACGGGTTGGTGTATTGATTGCCTGCAGCTGGTATCATCTCTCTCTAATGTTGCAAGTTTCGTTGTTGTTGTTTTTGTTGTTGTTGTTGGTTTTCTTGTTTTATTTCTTTCTGTTCAAGTCCTTTCTCGCTTAATTGGCTATAATTGAAATCAGCTCTTTGGGTTCGGAAAGAGTTCAAGCTAAAGGCAAACGGAATCGACTCGAATCGAATCGAATTGATTTGCAGTTACGAACTTTGATATAAATAATTGCGATAAACTTCAAATAGTCGTAACAGTAAAATATTAAGTGCGTTCTTTAACAGCGCTAATGCTAACATAGCTGCTGAAGCCATGTTAAAATTATAAAGTTAACAGCGCTCAGTTTACTAAAAAAACACTTTAATTATTAAAACCTTTTAAGTCAAAATATTTTAAAAATAAATTTGCTTTTAATTGAATTAATTGTTTATTTATTATACTAGTTAAGTAAAATATATCAATTTCAAAAGAATTCTTAATCACCTCAAAGTATGCAATGCGTAACGGTAAGATTCCTGAGTAGAACACAAAGAATGAGTCAAAATGGTTTATGTTCTCTTTTTGGCTCCCACTCAGCAGCGCCGCCGCTCGCACTCACATAAAACTGGGAACAGTCTGGCCATTGAGTTGGCGCACACGCAAACCACACTCCCAGTGCTTGGCGAGCGCAGACGACTCAAGAGCGCAGCAAATGTCACTCGTTGGCTGTGAAGAGTGTTACACTTAGCAGCTGCCGATCAGAGATCGTAGTTCCAATAAGACTGACGCTCCAATCATATTAGTGCACATGTGTGTAGGCGCAAGAGCTTAACAGAAATAGTTACACAGAGAGAGCAGAGAGAGTGTGTGTGTGACGACAGAGCGTATGGCTGTCTAGCTGTTAACTGTGATCTTTCAACGTCTGGAAGCTGACTCACACATTGCATACATATACTTGCATGCGTATATGCGTATGCCCGCGTCTTTGTGTGCGTGTGTGTGTGTTTGCATGCATATAATCAACGAGGACGACGTCATCGGCGTTTCGTCTGACTCTGTTATTGATTCTTTATGGTGATCATTCCATCTCGCTCTCACGCTCTCTCTCTCTCTGATAACTGGTTTGCTGCGGCTATTGTTTTTAGCTATGTTAAATTAATATGCAGACGTAAGGTTCGCCGGTCTCTTTTGCATCGCGTGTGAGCCGTCACCTAATGAAGACTCATTCTGATTTGAATGGCATTAGCAGCGGGAGTCGCTCCAATTAGAATAGGAGAGGCGTAGCCTAACGCACAATTCCTATTGCTCTCGCTCAGTCCATCTCCCTTGCACTCGCCTCAAGCCATCAATGCGCCAATCCCTGTGCGCTTGCCGCTTACTTTATATTGCTTATTCTTCATTTTTGCGCTACCTTTGCGACCTCCTTTTCCTTTTTCGGTCGCACACACACAAACACACAGACACAGGCACACCCTGGCAAAGCCTTGAACACGTTCTTGGAACAGGCACAAAAGGTGCAGCGCAAAACGAGTTCCAGTTGCTGTCGCTGCTGCCGGTCAACATTTGCGTGATTTACTTTTGTACTTCCACAGCATCCACAGCGATCGACGGGCGAAACTTTAACATTTTGCTTTTGTGCTCCTTCTTCCGCTCTGGCCCCCTGCTCCCCTACTCCGCACCTTTGCGCTGTTCCAATACCCAACTTCAGTTCGGTCAGCTGCGACGGCGACGGCGACGCTGACAGCGACGTCTGCGTCTGCGCAACTTTTGATTTTGCCTGAAACCGGTTTGCCAGTCTCCCCTCTCCCCTCCAACTCAAGTCTTGTTTTTTATTCATGTTTCATTTTTTTTTTTGTTTCTGTGGAGTCTGTGTGTTTCTCTGTCTGTAGCTGTTTCTACTAACTGACCCCCGGAGCAACCCACAACGCCAGCCGCAGCGACACAGCCGACAAACGTTCACTTAATGATCTTGTCAAGTGCTTTGTAGGCGTTTTTACTTTGTTTTTGCTTCGAGTTAATTTCTTAAGATCATCAAATAGAAACGAGATACGTACAAAGTCTAAGATAATTTGTTAATTTGTTAAGATTTTTTAAACAATAGAGGCGTCAGATCTTACAGAGTTCATTTATATAGAGAAAACAAATAGAGGTATTTTCTAGAGTTAATTTCTTATTTTGTTATGGGTTTTCAAGCAATTGAGTTCGTAAGTTCCATAAACTCCTTTAGAGACTCTATATTTATAGTGAAAATAAATAAATTAATATTTCAGAGGTAATTTCTTAACATTTTTATAATATAATATATATATTTTTGTATATAATATAATTTTAATATTTAAAAGAAATGAAGATGATAAGAAGTCTGCTATGATTCTTATTTTATTGAAAGCTTTCAAGCAATTAGGGTGGAATTTAGTTAATTAAATTTTTTTAAACATACTTTATATAAAGAAAAATAAACGATTTGTTTTAGTTATTTTACAATTTTGTATTATTTTATTTTATTTTTATTTTTTTCATTTTAATGTTAACTTTAAAAAAATATTTTTAGCAATTGCAAGACGCAACTCATTAAGATTTACCTAAGCCAAACCAGTTAATAGCCAGTTATTCCTGAAGCAGCTGTCAACTAATTTACATTTGTTGCCAACCGAGCAAATGATCTCGATTTCAATTTCAATTTCGATTTTGAAGCATTTGCTGCCTGGCCAAGCAGCTTCCCATGTGCATATGTGTGTGTGTGTGTGTATCTGTGTGCATTGAAAACTTTTGTGCTGCTTTTGCCATACTCCAGTTATGTTTCGCTCTTTGTATGTGTATGTGTGTGTCGCGTGTGTGTGTGTTGGCATGTGCCCAACTGCAAATGCGGCATAAGTAAAATCGTCTGCTCTTTTCTTTTTGCTAGTCTTCTTCTTTCGCTGCTTTACTTTTGCATAATGAATGAGTGCAGAGGTGGCTTAGTGCATATGCCATAGTGTGCGAGCGTGTGTGTGTGCAAGATTTGCTTCTTAGACAACGGTGTACCAGCAACAACACACGCTCAACCTTTCACTTGCCCTCGAGGCAACAAAAACAATCGTTCCAGCTTCCATGTGGTCGGCCACATTGACTTTGACTACAACAAATTCACATTTCCAAAACGTTTTTATAAATAGCACTCTCGCACACACACACACACACACACACACGCAGACAAGGAACTTCTAATGCTGTAGAAAAAGAAAAACGATAAACAACAGCAGTGACTGGGCGCTGCGGGGGCGTTGCGATCTCTCGCTCACGTTCTCTCGCTCCCTCACTCACACTCACTCCCTCTGCCCAGACTTTGGCTCTGGCGCTCTCTTCAAGTCTTTTCTTCTGTGCCTGCTTTCACTGTTGTTGTGGCTCTGATTGTTAACAGCAGCTGATGACGGTGCTCTGTGAATTAACAGCTACTGTTGTTGCTGCTCTTGCTGCCATTTCCAATCAATTTACATTCACCTTTTATAAGACATAAATAAATAAATTTATGTTTATATCTTCTAATGGCCTCTTATTCTCTGTGGGGGTGTCTATGTGTATGTGTGTGTGTCTTAAATTTATGACATAGAAATGTCAAAATTTGTATGCACTAAGATGAAATGAAATGAACGGTACTTATAGCTTTTAGCTCTTCTTTTATATTTGTTGGTTTTTGGGCTATTTTTGGGCGCCCATTGAAATGTCAAACTGAAACATTGCATGGCTATAAATATATATATATAGAAAACTAAATATGAGTGCATTTTGAAATATTGAACTATTTTTGAAGGTGACTTTGAGGACTTTTTTAATTTCTGTGCAGTTAAATCTTTGCATATATAGTAAAATAGCTAGAAATGTATAAATGTACTAATATATTAACTGTGCTAATTAACAGCTGCCGCTTGCATTTTGAGTGATTATTATGGCCTCGGCTAAAGTTTAGCTCAAAGAAATCGCTTTGCTCCTTTGACGGCTGAACCCTTGTGGAGTCAGCTGCTCTAAAAAACTCACTCAAATGCTTTGCACAAGTCACTCCAGCCCTCGCTCAATGGCGACGCGCTCTTAACTTAACAGCAGCACGCTCGCTCGCTCTCTCTCTCTGTCCCACTCACTCTCTCGTGGTTGCTCGCACTCCAGCAGAGTACATTTGTGAGCCAATAAGAGCAACAGACGTTGGGCACTGGAGTCAGCCGCTGCAGACGAAACCATGCAGAGAGCGTGAGAGAGCAATAGAGAGAGCAGCGCTTGCTGCCGTTGTGGCTGTTTTGGCTGTTGCCGATTGGAATTTTTGGTGCATAACAGCGCCCTAACAGCGTACGACCAGAAGCAAAAACAACATCGAGCAAGGCGGACGTGTGTGTCGCATTTTGTTAATAAATTTTTAGAATTTCTGTACAAGAGAGCTAAACGCAGCTACCAACAAACGCTGTCACAACTAATTCAAAATAAATTTGATAATAATAATAAATACGAAAATAATTCATTAATTGTGTTAAATATAATAAAAATCGTGCAGAGTTGCCTTGCTCGTAGTATTAAAAATAAAGTAAAAAGAGGAAAATTAACCGATATAAGTGTTGAGTAATATACGTAAAAAAGGAAAAAAAAAAAAAAAAAAAAACAGGAAAATTTACGAAAAATCACAAAAATAAAAAAACAGCTAAGAAAATAAGCAATAAATTATGCAACATTATTAACCAATTCAAGAAGCAACATTAACAACATTTTATGAAAATCGCGCGCGTTTCAACAGCCGCAACGATAACAACAACAGCAACAACAACAACAACAACAACCAAACAGCTGTCAACAAAATAAAAGAATATTCGTCTGTGAATTTTTTATCAACAAGAAAGCAAAACGAAGCGCGAAGCGACTTTTTTTCGGTGATTGTGTACGTGTGTGTGCGTGTGTAGTTGTTGTGCCGTAGCTGTTGTTGTGTTGTGCCTGTCAATTTTTGACATCTCCGCGTGCAAGTGTGTACGTCTATACGTGTATAGGTGTATAGGTGCGTGCGTGTGTGTGCCTCTCGCCTCTGTCAGTCGCCTCAGTCTGTCTATGTGTGTGCGTTAGTTAGTCAGTTGTGCCTATGCGCGTGTGTGTGCGAGTGTCTCGCTTCATTTTGCCTTTGGTGTCAGTTGAAGAGAAAGAAAACGAATAGCTCGTCGCAGCTGAGCAGAACGGAGCGGAGTAAACGGAATAAAGTGTGCTTCAAGTCAAGTTCTATGTGTTTGCCGGCATTTTAATGACGTCACGTCAAGCAGCGCAGTAACAGCCATCAAGCAAAAGCAACAACAACTGCAAAGTCAGCAAAACCAGAAAGCAAGAAAAATAATATCAAGTAAAAAGCCCGAAATAAAAATAAAAAAAAAAACGCGTTTCTTCTGCTGTCGCTCGCTCTCTACTGCCTCCCCCCGCACTATCGCTGACCCGCTCTAAACCACACTCAGCTGCTCCGTGCGCGTGTGACTGTGTGTAAGTGTGTGCAAAAGTTACAAATTCTAACAGCAAATCAAACGAAATTCGCAACAACAACAGCAACAACAGCGGAGAGAATCGAATCAAATTGAAGCGCAACGCATCGCTCGCATCGCATCGCATCGCATCATCAGCTGCTTCTCAAGGTGTTTATTTAGCTTTAATTTACATCTAAATTATTTATTCACACGTGTCTAAAAAAGTTTCCCCTTTATTACTAATACTCAGAGTTTTACCCATGATTGAAAAGTGGTTTATTTTGTTTTCTTTTGAGCTAAAATTTCTATTTGAGCTTTTCGTCGAGTTGCTGAAATTATTGACAATATTTTCAAAGTGTGCTTAAAATTAATTTTCCCAAAATGTTGAAATTAGTTTCGTCGTGTTTATACTTGTAGTAAAAAAAGTTTCACATGTTTTCAAAATATTGTTAACCGTGGTTAAAATTAAGCCGAACATATGTTAGGCTTATTAAAGGCGATTTTACGTTTTGGGCATTTCGATTTTAGCTTCCCATATTTTGTTTACAGTTTTACTAATCTGGCCAAGCAGCCAGTGCTACATATAACATTAATTTTAATTAAAAAATAATAATAATAATAATTATAGCTTTCTTATGTCAAATTTGTTTAAAAATTATTATTATTTTTTTTTTTAAATTAGTTGACATTTGTGTGATATTAATATTACTCAAAAATTTAATAATATATCAGTATTTAATTAATTAATTTCATATGAAAAAAAAAAAAAAAAAATGAAATAAAATAAATACAATATATTGAATGATATATTAGATATTTGAAAATTTTAAATTTAATTTGAAATGAAGTAGTATTTCATTAAAAAAAATGGTAAATAACAAAACTAAACTTATAGTTTCTTCTTCAAAATATTTTTTTCCGAAATAGTTTGATAATTTAAGTAAATTTTAATTTTTAATAAACATGGAGAGATTTCAATAAGAACTTTAATGCAATAGATATATTCCCGAATATTGAATTGAATTGTGCTTACACTTACTCTTTTTTTTTTATATTCTGAAAAATCGTTACATTACAAGTTTAAATAATATTATTTTAATTTCTTTTTGTCGTCATCTAAAAAAATTTTTTTACGCAGATATCTGTTAAAATAAAATAAAATGAAATCATTTGACATAAAAGTAATACAAAAATTAAAATATTTATTAGAAAAATCAAAAGCTTTTGTGAGATTAATTTTTGTATTTGTCTTATAATTTACTATTAACAAATACTTTTCAGAAAGTCCAAAAGTTGATTGAGATAAACGATAAATTTTACACCCGAACTCCAAAGAAATTCGATTAAATGTATATAGGTTTCTAGAAAATGTTTAAGTACAACATGAAAATGGTAAATTTTAAACTCTATTATATCTTTCTTTTTTCAATCCAAAGAATTCAAGCTGAAAATTAGTTGTAAAAATTCATAACAGAATTTTTTGATTCGAATATATTTTTGATGAAGTTCACTTGAACTTTGTTACTTTAATTGGTTTTTCTTTAAGGCATTAACTTCTTATAATAATTATAAAAATCGAAAGAAAAAAAATATCTGAGCAACTTTTTGGCCCGCAGCGCTGCTCTGCGCTGTCTTCTCTTTCGCGAAGGCTAATGAACTGTGCGAGCTATTAAAATGTAGTTTATCAGCAAAAAAGGCCGAAATAATACCAATAAATGTGTAAATATACTTATATGGCACATATGTATATAAAACCCCGTATATGTATGTACATATACATACTTATAGACAAATATGAAGTCATCTTTCGCAGTTTTACGAACTTTATTATTAATTAATCATTTGGGTCCGACGAGTTCTATTTAAGTCCAAAAACTTGGCTTGTGAAGCGCTCCACAAACTGAGTTGAATTTTAAGTTGGCCACACACTGACACCCACGCACGCACACACACACACACACATACAACAAATCATGCTTAAATTTAATGCAAATTTTGCAATTTTTATTCGTATGTAAAGAGCAAGCAAGGCCTAGGCTACAAATTCGTTTGCTCCATCATGTTTTACTCTGTTCTTTCTCTACTCGTAGGTCTTATAGGTTTTGTCATGAAAGAAGAATATTATATTATATATATAAATGTGTACATATTGGCTGAGTTCATGCATTTATATGGATGTATAGACATAGATATACATGTATGTTTAATTAGCATCAAATATAATATTAACTTACATTTATTTAATATTATTATACTATAATTTAATACTATAAATAATTATTTACTTTAATGTATTACAAATACATTATTAGACTTTATAGCGACAATCGATAGCTTTTGCTATCTAAAGACAAGTTTTCCGGCCTACAATACCCTTCGGCAATATTTTAGCTCTATATGCAATATGTAATACCATATTAAGTATTACATAATATCGTCTGAGCCACAGCTAGAGTTGAGGTATTGCTTTCGTCTACACTAAAAGCTTTAACTATATATATATATATATATATATATATATATATAATATATTTATCTATATATCTAGTTTCCGTCTAAAAAAATCTTTAATTAAAGCGTATCGAAGCGTCGGCGTGTCATAAATTTTGTCTTTTATTTTTATTTTATTCGTATTTACTTTTATTTATTTTTTACTTTTTGCTTTACTTAGCGCGAGATGCTAACGCGAGATATTGCGCACTGTTGTTGTTGTTTTTATTTTTGTTATGAAAAGTCACGTTTTTTTGTGATGTTTTTTTTTTTTTTTTTGCACCAGCGGCCTTTGTCGTCGAGCCCGAGTCGAGTCGTTTCTGGTTCTGATTCCTGAGCCTCTGGCGTTACTTCAACTCGTAAACATGAAATTTATGTGCTCTTTCGAGACTCACTGTAATACATTATACATATATATATATACATATATATGCATATTTATATATACATATATTCATTCCACATGTGATTTCTGTTCAAATTTGTTGTAATCTATTTTTGTTTACATTTTTAAGGCGGCAAATTGAATTAGCGCCTCGCTAGAGAGAAAGAAAGAAGGAAAGCAAAAGTTGTATATTTAACACTTGCCATACATAAACACATGCATACTTATGTGTAATGTATGAGTATATGTCTTCATATATGTACCTCTCCAATACTCTGTCTAAATTTAATAAATGAGCCAACGAAATCGCTTGGAAAATGCCACATAAATTGCTTTGTCTCTGCTGAATGCCGATATTCGTCTTTCAAAAAGCAAAATGAAGCCCAATACTGTAGCAAAAAACAACTGTAGAGAAACAAAAAAAAAAAGCCGACAAGCTCAACTAAAATGTGAGAGGTGAGGCCCGAGACCAAAAAACTCTCAAGTCTGAGGACTTGGCATGACTAATCGATTCGATTTTTCGACTAAAAAGTCATGCCAAACTCTTACAGCAAATATGGTATATTGCTCAGCATTCTCCCATCTCTCTCTCTCTCTCTCTCTATCTCTCTCTATCTCTCTCTCTCTCTCTCCCGCTCTGTCTCTTTGTCTCACCCCTCCGACGCAAAACAATAAATAAATATCGATAGCTTTGCCATGAAGCTTTTCATACAAATTTTACTTCAGTCGTTTTGTCTCTTCGCCGCCCTCAACAAAACTTGAAAGTCACTGGACAAATTTTGTGAGCTCTTCAACTGCCAGCGACGACATTTGAAATTGCCATTTGAATGATGCGCCAAATACGTTGAGTGAGCTGAAAGGCACAGAGAGACAAAGAGGGAGAGAGAGAGAGAGGGAAATAGAGATAGAGAGATGCGTCTCTGAAGCAGTTCAGAGTTCAGTGACGGGATTTTGTGGCTTTAGCGCTTCAAGAAATCAGATCACTTCAAACATAAATTTAAGCTATGCGAATTGCAATAATAATTTGTCTTAAGCAGAAGCTGAGGCTGATGTGACGTAGTATAAGAGAAATTGAAGGCAATAGAAGAAAAAGGCTTACATTATATTTATATAAATATGATTTGTATATTCATTCAAAATAATAACATTTAAATTTATTATTGTTATAATACACAAAGCAACAAATTTACTATTTGCTATTACTATTTTTAATAATATAAAAAATATTTAATAATTTTTATTCATTGTGTATTATAATTTAATTATACAAAATTTCTATTATATATTATACATAGTATAACTATGCTAGAGCTTAAATTCAAATTAAATTTTTGCAGACTTATTGAGTAAAAATTCGCGGACTTTCGCGCGTTACACAACACTTATATGTGGAGAAATTTCTCATCAGATCTAACTTGTCATTCAAGAAATCTTTGTAAATGTTCCGGGAAAGCTTAAATTCATGCATATATTAAAAAGTATCCAGTAGAATTTTTAAATTATTTGTATACTAATTTAATATAACATCACAGCTCTTCAAATTTAAACAAACATATATTAATAAACTGAAGCAAATTAAAAACAATTTCAAATAAAGTAAACCTAATACTTTTATGGCCAACCAAATCGCAGCAACAAAAGCTTAAGAAATTTAATTAAATTTGCTTGCAACTGGCAAATTATATAACTAATTGCACTTCGAATGCGCACAACTGCACAAGAGGCAGCCAAATAATTGCACAACTTGAGGGAAATAATTTCGATTCGCTGAAAATGTATAAAAAATGCTATAAATGTTGTCTAATTGATGTTTTTTTCGTTTTTGCTTTTTCAATTGTCTTTCGCTACTCGAATGGAGTGTGAGTGTGTGCAGAAGTGTGCATGCGTGTGTGTGTGTGTGTCGAAAGTGAAGTTAGTTACAAACTAATTTCATAGCTAATTACACGAATGGAGTTTTTGCTATGCTCTTTCCTAATATTTCCCCAATCAAAACTTTGCTTTCATTGCACTCGAAAATTTACTGAAGCGTCACATTGTGATATTATCAAAAGTTGGCCAAGTTTTTACTTGGGTTCATTTAATGCAAAAGAACTAGTTCATTTATGCGAATGCATGCTAAATAAACTAGAATAAGAAATGCAAATTCAAAGACCTTTACGCATTTACGAACACTGAATATTAACTGTTGAAATGGATAATTAAATTTGAAAGCTTACGAGAGCGGATGAAAGAGAACTTGAATAAAACGGTAATTTATTGAAATTCAGTTTAGAAATTCTTTCGGGTCTTATCA